GGTGAGAGGACAGTGGGAAATTTGTAGAGAGAACTGAGCCAAAGGGGGAAACACAGTGGACAGGAAGGACTATGAGAAAGAAAAGCCAGAGAAAGATGTGGTACAAAACGTTTAGGGCAGGGAAGAAGTTAAGGCAGAAAATGGAGCAGTTCTAGAAAGGAACATAAATATGGACAAAGATAACAGGAGGATCGGACCTCTAAGGATGATGATAAGTCCAAAAAGTGATCTTTCTTGAAGAAATAAAATACTAGCTTTCTTCCACTTTATGCCAGGTTGCAGGAAGGGGTAAATGTCAAGCTTGAAAACATTCCTCCTTTCTTCCTCCTCTTGTCCCCCCCGCAGCTTATTACTTGACTTTTCAAAGCAGCTGCAGGATTTTGTGATTCTCTCCCTTTAATTTCCTCTCTCCCATTGCAAAAGAAGATAAATTAGAGAGCATGAAAAAGCCTAGGAAGCTCAAACTCAGTCATGGGTTAAGTTTGTTAATATATCAAAAATAAAGACATTAATTGCATTCCAAACTACCACCTCTTCAGCCAGTTCCAAGAACCTGGCTTCTACCCACTGCAGGAAAAGGGGCAGCAGGATAAGTCTCTCCCATATAAGCATCTTTAGGTCAGGAAGAGAGGACTGTTAAATGCCTTACCTCATAATGTCTCTTAACATAGTCTCTTAACAGTCCTTATTCAACTGTGCCCAAGTCTGTGTAGACTTTTCTCATCAGATCATATACTCTAGGGCATCTTTTATCAGTCCAGTCAAGGGTCTATTTATATTTCACATATATATAGGAGAAGTCGCCAAGATGAGGGGCCAACTGTGCCCAAGTACAGGGCTAACTTACCAAGAGCACAGGCTCCATGAGGCAGGACTAGTCCACATAGGAGCCAGTCTATCCCACCCCAGCCTGCCCCAACCCCTTCCAGGTGTTCCCTCTGCCCACCATACATGCCTCCCTGCATGTTAACCTGACAGCATCAGTCTTCAGGAACAAAATATCATCTGTGTACAGGCTTACACACCCAAGAGCGCAATAGCGGAGGACAGGTCACATTCATCTTCATCACAGGAAGGCAGCCAGATTGGAAATGGCATGGCAAAATGAAACTGCAGCACATTCCTGTCACAGACCCTTAAAGCAGAGTCACTGGAGATATGATAGCAGTGGTACTCCTAGAAATCGTATGCAGCCCTCGACTCTTATCTTCCAGGGCTTTGCCCAACTCCCTCACACTGGTCCTCTGTCAGGATGCAGACAGGAGAAGTGAGCCAGAATGAGGCAAGCAGAGGGGTCATGGGTGCCTTTAGCTGTGTGCTTGCCATGAAAAATGCTCAAAGAAAACGTTAAGAGGGAAGAAGTGCAGCAAAAGGTCCCCCACTCTCTGTTAACTAGTTGCTGTCTGGCCACTGGTGGGAGCAAGTGCTCCTTTAGCCTCCCTAGAATCTGCCTGCACCATTCAAAGCAGCTGAAATACATCCAGGCTGTGCTTCTCTCCCTATAAAGCACAGACCTAGAAGATATGAAGTCTGGCTCCCATACCTCTGAGTCTCTGTGTAATAACCTTTTCTTCTGCTGGATTTGATGAAGGTGCAAGCTGCTAATCTCTCTTGGTCACAGTCCTTCCAGTACTGCAGAGGGGTGAGCTGTGAGGACTCACATGGCACAACAGTCATCAGGGGAGATGAAAGTCTGCCACTCCTTTTCATCATTCTCTGCTTTAGATAGCAGAAAAGAGCTGTTTGCTTCTTCTAAACAAAGGGTGTACAATATGCAGCTGAGCAGTTTCAGGCCTACTAGGCCTGGACAGTGTGACAAACGGGTGCTCTCACTCTCCCACTGACCACTGCCACTGGCCAGGTTCCTCAGAGAGACTTGTCTTCCCATAGATATTTTCTATTCATTCGATTCATTTGCTAAGGAGGTTCATCACAGTGGGCTTTTGGCAGCTGCCATTCACCTTTTGGATAGAGACAGGTTCAACTCATGCCCTTGGACCTGCTCTGAACCCAGAATTCAGTCCAGCCAGTCTGCTACACTTTCCATCTTTCACCTTACAAACTCTCTTCACCATTTACTAGACACCTAAGCTTAACTGAGTTAGACTGCTGGCTGTCCTCCCAGCTCTTCCATCCCCGTCACTTGTAAATAATTTCAAGCAAGCCTTTTTAAAATGCATTAGATTTCCAAAAAGGAGCTGATAAACAGGGGATGGGAGAAATGAAACACAGTGATGTGCTGTATTCCACAAATCTGTGGCGTCCTCTTCCCAACCCTTTAATGAAAATAGACGGACATTTATTATGAAAATAAATTACTAGTTGTGTGCAGGAGTCCTTGGTTGGGCCGAGTGTTAGTCTTCTGAGTGTATGTCAGTGTGATCCCTGTTGCCTGAAGAGAAAGAAGAGCACATCCATACCAGAGAAAAATCTGTCAAATTTAGTACCTGGAGGGCTCTGTGAGTGTTTTGTGTATGCATTTTTGTGTGTGGCACCACAGCTGCCCTCAGCAAAGGGAACATGTGATTGTGAACACTTTGCCTAGTGGTGCCATTCTAGTTATGTGAGTCACTCCTGTCATAAGTGTGAGGGCTGCAAGCATGCCTGTCAAAGCATACTGATATGAGTGTATGTTCAAGTTTTACAGACCTAGTTTGAGACACTCCAGTTAGATTATGCTGTTTTGCTCCTCCCTCATATACCCACATTGCATTCAGTGGCCATGTGACCAGGAACAGCATTCAGGAAGTGTTAAGTGTGTTTGTATTGCTGGTGGGCAACATTAGGTGCCGTGGTGTTCCTGGTATGGGAGAGCAAGTGCAGTAAAGGGTCTGGAGATGAATCTTCTGTGCTGAAGCCAAGGAAAGGAAATGGAAATTCAACCATCAGGTCTCTTCCCCTGCCTCAGCCTCTAAGAGAGGGGAAACCATCTCTACCTGTCTATTTCAGTTAGTTTAATGGATGGAAATGAACAATTGCCTGACTCCTTGCACTGCTTTGTCCCTCCTCCTGCTAGGAGTAATTCTGCTTTACAGTGTGTGAGTATCTGGAGGAAGGAGGGAAGAAAGGGGACATAGGAGCCTTAAGACGATTCTAAGGATTCTGGCAGGAATCTGGATAGAATCTGCTCTCAAAGGAATAATCCAGGTAAATTCTAGGAAGAGGATAGCCTGAATTCTCTCACCCCAGATAAGACTGTGGGTAGAAGAGATACTCCAGGCTACATCTGATGGCTGTTGGCACTAAGGCACTAGAATAGACTTTTCTCATCAGATCATATGCTCTAGGGCATCTTTTTATCATTCCAGTCAAGTGTCTATTTATATTTCACATATATATAGGAGAAGTTGCCAAGATGAGGGGCCAAATCCTGACTTCTTCCCCCACCTCTGGACATGACCATGCTTCCCTTCACTGAACTCAAAGCAAGGGTGCATGCCTACGTGAGCACACGTGCTCCAGAGCAGTAAGCAGAAAACTCAATCCCTATTACATCAGCTACAAGGAGTTTCAATGCAGGAGACAGTTTGCAGGCTTGAGTAAAACCTTCACATTCCTTCTCTGGGGTAAGCACGTGTTTCAACTCTGAGATACACTCCTTGCCTCTTGAAATTAATTCAACATTCCGATGGCTTGGGCAAAAATAACTAAAATCGATAATCAGGCTGTGCTGGTCGTGCTGCAGATTTCCTGGTAAATAGAGCCCCCTTCAGGAAGGAAAAAAAGTAGAGACTGAGACAGCACGGGCACTTACTAGAAGAGTCTGGGAAGGCATCACATTAGATAGCACTGGTTTATCAAGTCTTTTAAACCAAGCCTGCACATGCAGTCCTCTTTAGCAGTCCTCTAGCACTTGCCCCCAGGCTGTTCCCCACTCAGAAATATCAGTACGCCCCACTTTTCCTCCTGCTCATTAATTTTAACCTCATCCCTCACCATCCAACAGCTGCCTGCTTGTCACATGCCCTCAGCCTGCCTGTATCTAGGTGCAGTGCAGAGCTGCAGTAGTGCTCAGGCAGCTTTGCTAGGCACAGGAACATGGCACACTTATATCCTCTGCTTTTATTACGTAAAAGATCATCCTACCCTGAAGTCTGGACTTCTGGGGGGCAATTTTATTTTTTTCCTTAAACAAGTGAGTAGAAAAAAATGCAAAACAACAAGAACAACAACAAGAACAACAACAAAAACACAACAGGCTTCAGGGGAAACTAGAGCATGAAGATGTGGGGCGAGGGGGTGGGGGGCTGTGGATGTATGGTGTTTATGCGCCACCAAACTTTCTTTACTTCTGCTTGCAGGCCTACCAGACTGAGTCCAGCCCTCTTAAGTGGTGCAAGGAAACAATCTTTGTTTGGAAGCCAGAAGGAAAAGTGGAGTCTGGTGTTCTTCCCTAGGCGGACCTATACTGGCCTCTGAGCACCAAAACACAGAGACATAGAGACACAGAGCTGCCTCTCTGGTCTGCAGACACTTTACACATAGTTTCTCTTTATTGCTTCCTCCATCTTTTACTTCCCCTGCCACAGAGAAGAGGCCTTTCTGAATTGCAGCCCTCTTTGCAGCTGCAGGTCAGGGTCTCCTATGAACAGAGGTCTTCTTATCTTCTTTTAACCTCCAATTTCACTGCCTCTCTTAAATATCAATATCCTTTCACCACCATAAGTGCCCATCAATTCATAGAAGAGAAACTACTATGACTTTTCTTATTCTGCAACTGACTGAACCATGTCCAGAAAGCATCTGCATGGTTCCTCACAGAACAATGCCGAGTCTTGGTTTCATGTCTGGAGAGGATGAATGGGGGATAGAGATGTTCTGGACACATTCTTGTCTCCCTCAGATCCTGTCCTACATGCCTGGTAGGTGTATGGGAGAATCCAAAGGCCATCTCTTTCAGTTAAGTGTATCTTAGGACATGGAAAAAGCCATGTCAACAGCTCTGACAGTCCCCAATGGAGTGCACCCTGTTCCTCTGCCTTCTGTTTCAGAAGGAAAGATCAGTCATCTTCCTGCCAAGTGGAGGTGGAGGGCACCAATACTCCCAAATTTCTTCACTGGTAGAGCCCAGCATGGGAAGAAAGATACTCAACAATTGCATGTTCCTGCAGGTCAGGGCTCAGTTTTTGTTGGCAATCTTCTTCTTACGGGCTGAGACAAGATCATAGAAAGGATCCTGTGTGATGCTGGTCCTGAAAATAGGAGGAGATGAGAACAAGAGATTTAGTGCAGGAGAAGAGCAAAGGAAACCTTCCCTGCACAGTGACACCACTCACAGGAAAGAAGGAGTGGAGATCTGCAGACCTATAGCAAATAATTTAGTTGTGGCTACAGATTCTCCAGAAGGGGCCTTGAAACTCCTTGGTTTGGTGCACTCCAAGGTGCAACGCAGCTGTTAGGCTGTGAACACTTCTTTCCACTCCCTTTTCCAGGCTCCATTTCCTGCTGGCCAAATAAGCTGCGTCAAGGGCTGGACAAAGAAAACCGACAGTCTGCAAATTCGGTCTTCTCACCGTATTGCCTCAATCCACTCATCGCGTTCTTCTGGTGTAGCTGCTGAGATCTTGTAGGACTGATGCTTGCCCTCAACAACCTTCCCATCCCCATCTGTTTTGCAGGCTTTGATCTTCTGCCCCTTACAATTGGGATTGAAGAGCTCAAAGCAATTCTGTCAAGAAAAAAATAAAATGGAGCAATAAGGTGGTGGGGAGGGAAGAGAGCTGGGTGGAGAGGAGAGACATGTAAGGAAGAACTGATGCCTTCAGCCATGGATCAGGGAAGAGAATCTCCCTGTCTTTGAAACACAACAAAATCTTATCTTCCTCACCCCAAGAATCTCCCTATATGTTACATCTCCAGACCATCCCTCTCAGATAAACACACCCCTCCTGTGAAGGACTAGGCATTAAAACAGGCTTTATGGAGAGAGAGAGAGAG